AGATAAGATGAGCGAGAAAGATAAGATGACACGAGCCGGCAAAAACAAAACAAAAGAAAAAAAAGGAGGTAAAATAATGAAATAGTCGCAGCCTTCATTTTCTCGCCCTCTTTTTAACCTAAAAATACTCATTCTCTTTCTTTTGCGACTATAATGAATATTAATTTTACTCTTCCTGCATATGATGGTGAATTCAGAGGCACGTTTCCCCATTCAGGCCTGGCCGTGGCATAATTTATTAAGTAGCTTTTAGTAATCTTAAATCCATAAAAATAAACATCAAACAAGTACTTTCTCGCAGCATGAAGACTTCAACTGGTAAATATTTACTGCTCTTTGGAGAGCTACCTGATTAGCAACAGAGCAAGCTACACTGTACTTCAATGGAGACGGGGCAGTATCTCCTTTAGCTGAGCTGAACGTGAAGCCATCCCTTTAATACACTAAACACGTCTGCATATGCACACACCGAACAGAAAACCCAGATCTTCGGTCAGAATTTGCTCCCATATTTAATGCCCATCTCCCAAGCGTGGAGGGGATGGGGTTAAAGGAGAAATGCAGGAGGCTGCGACTGAGCTTCCAGCCCTCAGCTCTACCAGCACGTATTCTAGACATTACAGCAGAGGGATTTCTTGAGAAAAAAAAATACATTTTACGAGACGAGGACAGGGAAGCCAAGTTGTTCATTAAGGCATCAGGAGGTGCGAGGAAAGAGAAAAGAGCTGCTGCATTTTACTTGGAAACTCTCTAATTACCTAAGTAATCAGCAAAACAAAAACAAGAAAAGTCAAGCCTGCCCAGCACCCGGAAGCAGCATGAGCACAAAATCGCTTTCTCATCCCGTTACCCAATTTCGCTGCTCCTGTTTATGGATTTGATCCATATGCATATGTAGGTCTCTACAGAGGCATTACTGTACCACAATACAGTTAGCTTTAAAGGAATGAATGAAATGCAATTTGCCGTGCCCTGGGACTCAACCTCAATAGGCCAGGCCTAATCTGCAAGTTGTTTTCTAATCTCAAAATCTTGATATAATCTGATCGTGGCTGGGATTTTTCTCTCCCACTGGAAGCATAATTAGTCATTAAGATGACAAAGTTTTACGTTCACAGGTCGAATAAGATAAAGCTACAAATGAATCAGTTGGCGTTTAGACATTTGCAAAGGTCACCAGCTATAAACATTTATTGTCAAAGACCACAATTACTGTTTTATATCTCAAAAGATGGATAAAATGCAGACACTCCCCCCCCCTCCAAAACACTGGTATGCTTGTTTTTGTTTTTTAATTTTTTTTCCCAAAGCTGCGTCTGCCAGGGACATTTAATCATTCAGGAAACTTTGTTTTTAAACTTTCTGCAAATTGTGAATGGCCTGCGGGTCAATTTAACACGGCACTGCAAAGCGTGACAAGGTTAAATTCAAATCCAGATTTCCCAAATGCACTTGTGAGGGGAGAAGAATCAAGTTTATTGCTGAGCTGTATGGGACCAAACCTGAGGCACCGCGAAGAGTTGGTGACTTCTACCAAAAAAAAAGGCTTAGGGCTGCAGTGGGGAGCTCGGGTCCTTACGGATTCCAAGGGGAGGCCAGCAGTGTCTGGCGGAATAATTGAGACTAAGTCAAAAAAAAAAAGAGAGAGGAAGGGGTGGAATATTTTACAATCATGTTGAAAGAAAAAAATACTTCCGCAGTCAGAAACTTGTTGAAAAGGAGCCCTGATGGCAGGTCGGTGCTGGGAGCACACGGCCCTCGCAGGGCTCCCCCGAGCAGACCAGAGCAGAGCCGGCTGCCCCGGCCGGAGCCTGGGACCTCCGAGAGGCCGGTGGCACCAGGGGCTTTGCAGATTGCACTTTGCTGACTATTCGCCTCGTGTGATCTGCAAGTTGGAAACTTCTTCTCCGTATTATGGACAAGTTCGGTGAGATCTCCCGGCTGCTTGATTGAACCTGACAGTCTTTCAGCTCCGCTCAGCGCTTCCCTGATACAACTACTGAGAACTGACTTGGCCTAGAATGTGACTTCTTCCCCCACCTCTGTGCCCGGCGCTCTCCTCCTCTCTCTCTCTCTTACTCTTTTCTCGTAAGTACCAAAAATCACCGGCGAGTGCTCCCCAAACGCGACTCCTTCCAAGACACTGGCTCTGGGAAGCACAAAGCAAAAGCCACGGAGCTCGGATCTGCCCGGCTACACCCCCTGCCCTCCCCACAAAAAACAAGTGGCAAGGATCGCTGAGGAGTCACTTCCCTCTCCTAACAGGCATAACAGGAACAAAAAAGGGAGCAGGCTCAGGGACCGGGCTGCAGCAAGGTATATGTTGTGTGTGTGTGTGTGCGTGCGTGCGTGCGCACCCGCGTATGTGTGGAAATATTAGTCAGGGATCAGAGCACCAGCTCCCCAATCATCCCCCATCGCTTGGGCAAGTGGGGAGGGGTAAAGGGGGGGGGGTGCCAGGAACAAGACAGGCTCTGGTGCTTGCTCTGTCCAGCAAATATATTGGAGCTGCTGCTGCTTTACTAAGTATTGGCATTGGTTTCCAAGTCAGATGCTTTAGCTTTTCCAGGGGACCATGGGTTTAAGTGAAAGCAGAAAGTTTCTGAGCTTCTGGACTGGAAAGTTCCCTGGGAAGCTCTCCCGGAATGCAAGTGGCGAGAGGAGAGACAGAGAGGGAGAGAGAGAGAGAGAGAGAGAGACAGAGGGGGCGGGGGGAGAGCTGTCTAAATATTAAAATGGAATGAAGGGGAGAAGTTGGGAGAAGAAATGAGCAGACTCACCTTTATGAGGCATCCTGTCTTGTTGTCAAAGCTCCTGTCAATAGTTTAAGAGCGCCCTGATTTGAAATGATGGTGCTTTAAAAAGAGTTGCCAGTAAAATAGTTTTTCTCCAGTGAAGCTGCTGGTTGTGTGATCTTGAATTCCTGGGAAGGAGACAGAGATTGACAATAAAATGGGCTGTCAGTGACTGGAGAGTGAGAGATAAAGAGTGTGTGAGCGGAGCAGGGAGAGAGAGACACACAGCACACCTATGCTGATTGGTGATGGTTCAAGTGTATTAATGTATGTGTGCCTGGTCTCTGCCTCGCCTCCACTGCTCTTCACTGGCCCATTAGCAAAGCCTGACCTCTGTCATCATCTTCCAGCAAAACACTTCCTCCCTGCGCCTTAACCAGAGCGGGAAATGAGGCTGAGCCAGGGCTCGCTTTTCAAACCCACTAATCACTCCACACATGCAAATGCTCTGCTCTCTCCCACACAAAATATTGCTTTATGCAAAGCAACGCCATTGCCTCCCAGCTGCCGATTGGATGCTCAGTCACACTGCCTGGTTCAATTGGCCCATTTGTTTGAATATGAATGCACTTGTTTTTTGCTCCGCACATAGATTTTTTCCTCTTCCCTGTGTTCTCTCCGCTCATCTCCGGGCTCGGCGCCTCTCGGCAG